ATTTTCTCAACAGAACGAGTCGTATGAATATTGTTAATCAGACTGTGAAAGCCTTGAATTACCGCTTGGCTATCCAGAAAAATCGTTGGTGATGAAGAAGGAGAACAAACAATTAAAGCAGTCAGCAATGCAAATAATTCAACTCTTGTTAAGAATAGATGATGTTAAATAGCAGCAGAAAAAGAATACTGATCATGATTATGTAGATCAGGAGAGATCCAACCAATTTCCATACGACTATTGACTGATGTAGCGTTCATTAATAAACTATCAGTGTAAATGTTAGGTGCATTTTTACAATTAAAAAATACATCAGAGAAGGTAGTAGAAAGTTGTTGGAGTTGAAGTCGGTAGAAAGGTTGTTCAATAAGATCATTAATTAAAGTATGGTTAATAGGAATTATAGGAGGCAAGACTGAAGGCATTATAGGAACATTTTGTTATTGTTATTGTATTCTAAGTGATTGTCGTCCAAGTGAGCGGTATTGATGAGAATTAAGGATCTCCTTTAATGATTGCGTCATAATACTTGTTCCTTTGATTGGGTGTAAAGTTTTGGCTTTTTTAATTATAACAGTGTGAGCCAGATCACAGGTTTGCACACATGTGACAGATTTCAATGGAGGGCTGCCTTTTTTAAAGCGAGGTCTTTTAAGAACATCCAAGAGTTGTGAATTATTAATATCACAACCGTCACAAGGAATAATAGAGCGTTCTACATGTTGAGGCAGGATTTGATTGTTTCTAGGAGCAAGGACTAAGTGTTGATAAGCCAGTGAATTATCAGCAGGGTATTTTCTCAAGATCCTTCCAGTGATTGGTCGATTTGATTGGGTGTGAAAAACTGACACGAATTCTCTAGTTTTACTATTAATATCTACATCTAAACTTGGAGAAAAAAATAAATTATTAGAAGCTAGTCTATAAATATTTTTGACTATATTATTATTAGGATTATCTATAACTAATGAAGAAACTAATGTATAAATTTTAGGAAGTTTAGGAGAAGGAAGTGAAATGGCAGAGTAGTAAGAACAGCTAATTATTTCAACCCAGAAGAGTAAAGAGAATCCATCCGTTGCCAAAAATTGATCGAGAAAAATTAGTTTGTATTTCTTTATCATAGCCATTGATTGAGCCAATTGTGTTGATGTTAGAATGGAATCTAATGATAAAGAACCGCCTTTGATTTTGTTTAGTAAAGTATCATTTATTCTGAAATTGATATCTATACAATCATGCTTGAGTAAGCTGATCATTGCTCCAATTAGATTTTTATAGGATTTGTTATCATATGGTCGATTCCAGCATGCTAAAGAAGAAATATGGAGTCCTTCATTAGATTGTAATTGAAAAAGTCTAATTCGTGAGATTTGATGGTATAGGGAAGTAGAGTTAAATTGATATAAAAGGGCTGTTGAGAAGGATTGGAGTTGTTGATTC